TAATGGGAGCTTGTACATTGTAATGGTGAGGAGAGTCTTAATGAGGAAGAGAGGGCTTGGACATTAGCCTAAAAAGTCCCGTGGTTTTCTCCCTTTCGGGTTTCCACGTAAAAACTGAGCTTGTTCATACACATTTATACATTTATTTATTATATCGTGTTGGATTAAACCTCAACACCTACAATGTCTGGTCTTGTTGCTATTTTTTAAATTTTATCTTTAAAAGTGATAGAGTATATAGACTCGGACCCCCGGGTCTCACGACTATTGAGCCCGGACAGCGGCCCACATATGTTCAGTAGATAGCATTTATTTCATTGTACACTCTATATTTATTCATATGTACCCATTAGAATAGATTAGATACCATTTATTAGCCATTTATTGGCCTTTTATTGTAGTTGGGCCTTCTAGGCCCAAGCCTGGAAGCCCAACCCTCTTTTCTCCTATAAATACTCCCTATGGGAGCCATGTAAAGGGGATGAATGGGGGATAATTGATTGGAATTCATTATATATATCACTTTATCTCTCTAGCTCTTCCTTCTCTCTAAGAATTAATACTCTATCATTTGGTGCTTTCATTAATCTCTCTCTCTCTCTCAAAAAAAAAAAAGAAAAAAAAAAAAAAGAGGGAAGCCGACGGACCGCGCACTTGCCGGCCTCGAGCAAAAATAATAATAAATAAATTCCCCAAACTTATTATTCATCTCAAGACCGGCTCCCAATGCCGAAGCTCTTGCTCCATCATCTCATGAACGGTCCCCGAACGCCGTCATGCCTCTACATTATTCGGATCGGCCTCATCATCGCCATCCGCACATCACGACCGGCCTCCCAGCCTTAGCGTGATTATTTCTTCTCAAGACCGGCTTCTCATCGCCAAGTGTCTTGAGTTGGCAATCGGGCTCGCCGTCCCTTCCTGGATGGTGACCGTTGCCTCTACATGACGATCGGCTCATCATCATCGCCGTCCTCTCATCACGACCAGGCCCCCGACCTCGGCGTGATGCTTTATCTCAAGACCGGCCTCCTTAGCGCCAAGTGTCTTGAGCTAGCGATCGGGCTCGCCATTCCCCTCCTGGATGGCGACTGTCGCTTCTATATGACGATCAGCTTCATCATTGCCTCGTCATCATTATCCAGATCGGCTCATCATCATCGCCATCTGCTCATCACCACCGGCCCCCCCGCCTCAGCGTGATGCTTTATCTCAAGACCGGCTTCTCATCGCCGAGCGTCTTGAGCTAGCGACCGGGCTTGCTATTCCCTCCCAGGATAGCAACCGTCGCCTCTATGTGACGATCGGCCTCATCATCGCCTCGTCATCATTATTCGGATCGGCTCATCATCATCGCCATCCGCACATCACGACCGGCCTCCCAGCCTTGGCGTGATTATTTCTTCTCAAAGACCGGCTCCTCATCGCCAAGTGTCCTGAGCTAGCGACTGGGCTTGCTATTCCCTTCCGGGATAGCAACCGTTGCCTCTACATGACGATCGGCTCATCTCCGCCTCGTCATCATCATTATTCGGATCGGCTCATCATCATCACCATCCGCACATCACGACCGGCCTCCCAGCCTTGGTGTGATTATTCCTTCTCAAGACCGGCTTCTCATCGCCAAGTGTCTTGAGTTGGCAATCGGGTTCGCCGTCCCTTCCTGGATGGTGACCGTTGCCTCTACATGACGATTGACCTTATCATTGCCTCGTCATCATATCTCGAACATGCTCCTCAGCATCTTCATCCTCACATCACGATCGGGCCCTTCGGCCACGACGTAATGCTTTATCTCAAGACCGGCTCCCTCAGCGCCGAGTGTCTTGATCTAGCGATTGGGCTTGCTATTCCCTTCCGGGATAGCAACCGTCGCCTCTACATGGCGATTGGCCTATCATTGCCTCGTCATCATACATTGGACCGACTTATCATAGTCGTCATCCTCGCATCGCGGCCGGCCTCTCGGCCAAGGCGCGGTACCTTATATCAAGACTGGTCTTAGCCATTCCTTTACTGGGTGGCGACCATTGCATGGATTTTTGGGTCGGCCCCTCAGTTCTGATCATGGCAGGCCCTCGGCCTCGACGTGATCATATTCCCCAAGACCGGTCTCAGTCATTCCTTCATCGGATGGCGACCGTTGCTTGGACGTTTGGCTCAGCCTCATAGTGCTGACGACCTCGCATCACGATCGGCCCCCCCGGCCTCGACGTGATGCCCTATCTCAACACCGGCTTTATCAGCGCCAAGTGTGTTGAGCTAGCGATCGGGCTCCCCATCCCTTCCTGGATGGTGACCGTCGCCTCTACATGACGACCGGCTCATCTCTGCCTCGTCATCATTATTCGGATCGGCTACCCATTATCGCCATCCTTATATCACGACCGCCGCCCCGGCCTCGGCGTGATGATCTATCTCAACACCGGCTTCATCAGCGCCGAGTGTGTTGAGCTAGCGATCAGGCTCGCCATCCCTTCCTGGATGGTGACTATCGCCCCTACATGGCGACCGGCTTATCATCGCCTCGTCATTGTTATTTTGGATCGGCTCCTTATCACGGCCGTCCTCACATCACGATCGGCCCCTAGGCCACGATGTGATGTCCTATTTCCGAGACCGGCCTCTCATTGCCGAATGTCTTTGGTTAGCGATCGGGCTCGCCATCCCCTCCTGGATGGCGACCGTCGCCTCTATATGATGATCGGCTCAGCATTGCCTCATCATCGTATCATCAGACAGGCGTCCCACGCCCCGTCCTCATATTCAGACAGGCGTCCAGCGCCTCGTCCTCATATTCAGACAGGCGTCTAACGCCTCGTCCTCATATTCAGACAGGCGTCCAACGCCTCGTCCGCATATATTCAGACAGGCGTCCAACGCCTCGTCCTCACATTCAGACAGGCGTCCAACGCCTCGTCCTCATATTCAGACAGGCGCCCAGCGCCTCATCCTCATATTCAGACAGGCGTCCAACGCCTCGTCCTCATGTTCGGATCTAGCAAACATCTTGCGGTCTCCGGCTCAGAGACTAAAGGATCTCAGATCTCATCTATAGGCCCCTCGGCCACATCTTGCTCTAGCATCTTTATTTGATGACGAAGGGCTCTCATACAGGCCCATCGGCCATATATCTTGCTCCGTCATCTTTATTTGATGGCGAAGAGCTCATCTACAGGCCCATCGGCCATATACCGCTCTGTCATCTTTATTTGATGACGAAGAGCTCATCTACAGGCCCATCGGCCATATATTATTCTGTCATCTTTGTTTGATGACGAAGAGCTCATCTACAGGCCCATCGGCCACATATCGTTCTGTCATCTTTATTTGATGACGAGGAACTCATCTATAGGCCTCTGAGCCATATCTCGCCCCGTCGTCTTTATTTGACGACGTGGAGCTCTTATGCAGGCCCCTCAACCATACATCGCCCCGTCGTCTTTATTTGACGATGTGGAGCTCTTATCCAGGCCCCTTGGCCACACATCGCCCCTTCGTCTTTATTTGACGACGTGGAGCTCTCATATATGCCTCTCGGCCACTACTCCCAGTCATCTTTATTTGATGACGTGGAGCTCACATCGGCCCATCGGCCTCATATTCTGGTCATCTTTATTTGATGAACCAGACATCATATTATGGACGGTCGCTCGACCCATCCCTTAGTCATCTTTATTTGATGACTAGGACTACTGATCATGACGAGCTACCCACATCTATGGATCGGCCTCGGCCATCCCCTCGGCAGACGGACACCGCTGCAGCTCCACCTCTAGGCCGAAGGGCTCGCACCTTTTGCTTCGTTCTGGGGGCATCCGATGTACTCTTTTTCCCTCATTAGGATTTTTTCCCACAAGGTTTTTCCTAATGAGGTTTTTAACGAGGCATCACCCCATGGTGGATCAAAAGGTGTCAACCCTCGGCCCCCTGTTGCAGACATCATCAGACATGCATTACTCTACTCCTCTTCACCTCGTTACACTCGCCTCAAGGGGTGGGGGACTGGGAGAGCGAGGGACTTAGCGCCTTCGCTACCAAAGAAGCAGAAATTCAAAATTTTTGCAAGGATTGCCACTCGCACCGACGACATCATCATATCACATACATATTCAGCTGCCACATCGGCCAGTACATATACATAGCTCCCCGGCCTCAGTACCAGTGGTGATGGTCTCTGGCCTGCGACCTTCGGCTGAGGATTTTCCCACAGGGTTGCCTCAGCCAGGGCTCACCAGTGGGATCGGATCATCGGCTTGGGAATCCGGGCGAGGCGCTTCGACGATGACAGCAATTTACTCACCGGACGACGACAGATCAGCACACAGTTCTACTCTCTTTCGCCTCGAGTACTCTCGACTCAGAGAGTGGGGGACTCCTGATAGAGTATATAGACTCGGACCCCCGGGTCTCACGACTATTGGGCCCGGACAGCGGCCCACATATGTTCAGTAGATAGCATTTATTTCATTGTACACTCTATATTTATTCATATGTACCCATTAGAATAGATTAGATACCATTTATTAGCCATTTATTGGCCTTTTATTGTAGTTGGGCCTTCTAGGCCCAAGCCTGGAAGCTCAACCCTCTTTTCTCCTATAAATACTCCCTATGGGAGCCATGTAAAGGGGATGAATGGGGGATAATTGATTGGAATTCATTATATATATCACTTTATCTCTCTAGCTCTTCCTTCTCTCTAAGAATTAATACTCTATCAAAAAGCTTATAATGCTCAATGGGGGTTTGGGCATTTTAGGGTTGAAAATTGTGTTGGTGTAATCTTTAGCTTTATTGGGTGATACATTGTGTTATATGAGGTGTACTTTTTAAAGCGGTTAATTTCTCCCGTTAACTTCCGTTTCCTGCCGTTTTACCCTGACGGAGTATTCCCCGTTTCCCACCCAGTCCGTTATACCCTTCAACCCTCAATTCGCAGGCGGTAGTTCCCCCTCGTTTCGATGTCGGTTACCCTAACCTTGGATTCGCGCACCGCAGGTGTCAATGGAACCCCTCGTTTCGATGTCGGTCGCCCTGGCCTTGGATTCGCGCACCGCAGGTGTCGATGGACCCCGCCTTAACCAAGCCGCGCAGGCTCCGGCCATTTCCCTTCTACTTGCGGTGACTGTCCAGGTATATGTTCGGACCGTTTCTCTGAATTACGCTGAGCTTTACACATCCCCTTTCTCATTAATACCCGCATTATTGTTGTATTGAATTCCTTATTATTGTTTGGATCAGTTATGGATGATGTACGACCTGCACTGTCCAGCCTTCCTTCCTTCAGCAGGTATAAATGTGTCTCTGTCCACCCTTGGAAAAGATTCCGCGCTTCCACCCCTCGTTTGTGTTGTAAGCATACCATCTCCCGCTTTCTTTCACTATATGTGCTTCTTCTAAATTTCCAGTCACTTCTGAGTGAACAGTTGCTCAATAACGTAGCAGCCGGTTGCTTGGACTCTATGTGTGGTGTATCATGATTTTTAACTTTATCACAGAAATGTATTCGATTTGAACTCTATGCTGCTTTCCCCCTTTTAAACTGTTTTGTTGCTGCAAGTGCACACAGCATCCGCTCTGGCTTCAGGCTGCAGTTGTTTACAAAATTTAGGACATGCAATAGGCGGAATTTTCCGAGGTCATTCTAAAAAATCGGCTAGGAGTTGTGGTTTTCCAGCCTACTTTGTCAAAGCGGTGATCATAGTGACATTTGTAAGACAGAAAACATTATTGATGTGGGCTAGAGGTTTGCGTACTAAAATTAGGGATAATAAATACTACATATGTCATTTCCCATACAGTTGCTTTTGCCTGCAGAGTTGTTCACCATGTAGCTCATAAACTACGGGTTAGGGAAGTTAGAAGGGAAACAATGTGTGGCTTTAAATGATAATCTTATTTTTGTGGGGAAAAAGACTTGGTTGCTGCATGAAATAAATAGATACCCAGACTTTATGGTGCTGCAATTCTGGGCTTGTTAAGTGGCTAACTAGGTATAGTTAAGAAAGGAAACCTATAACGACTGAATTTGATAAAGAATGGATGGCTGTTTTATATGATTGAAATCTCTCACCAACATTACATGAATTAGGCTGAGAGTAAATCCAAACCATTTATTATAATATAATTAAAATAAGTTTAAACCTCTGGAGCAACGGCATAAAATTGTGAGTTCTTTATATGTATTTTCATCCTTTCAATGAGTAGAATCTGAATCTGTACTTAGTTTTTTCTATCTGTGCTTCTAAAATTTTCAGAAAATTATTCCACTATTTCGCATTTTCTTCTTAAATTTGAATAAAATAGTTGTTGACATTAAATCCATTCCAATTAATTATATAGTTGTTTACTAGCCTCAAGGTAGTTATTTATCAAAACAAAGTTAATTTTTACGAAGTAGAAGTAAATTTTAATTAATTCCGGCATTTAGTTGTTATTATTGCATAAATTAAATTAAATACTCAAAAAAGGCAAAAAATTAGTTTCTGTCCTAATTCCAGTTTAATTCACAGTAATATCACTCCTAGTAGTCAATATAAAATTTATAACGAATTTATAATATTTGTAGTTGCTTTTTTTGTATTTTCTAGTTAATATTGGGAAAATTATCTATTAGTTGTTAAAATTGGGTTTTAGGTTTTAAAATTCGGGAAAAATTCCAGAAAATTATATTTTAGTTCCTCTAAGTTTATTGTTCCATAATATAAGCTTTGTTTAAATTTTTGCTATCATCCATGTGTAATTCCTTGTTAATGTTGAATATATTCATTATATTGTTAATTGAAAAAATGATGTTTATTAGCTAAATTTGTTTTGGGCATGAATTGACTAAAGGAATATGGATTGAATTGTTGACCGAAAATTAGGGATTAAAATTAATAATTTGGACTAGTTGTTTGAAATGATGAAATAGTAATTAATAATTGTTAGCCATATTCATTAATTAAATTCTTGGAAAATTATTTCTAACTTGTCTATGAGATTAGAAAATAATTTAAGCCAACTATATTCAAGCACATTAATAAGGCCTAGAAATAGGATAATTTAATGAAAGGGATTTACATCTTGTCTATGAGAGATAAATTCAATTGCTAAAATAAAGAGTTTAACTAGTTAATGAATTTGGCTATTTTTATTAATTAAAATATTGGAGAATTATTTCTACCTTGTCTATGAGGTTAGAATTTAATTCAAGCCAACCATTTTGAACACATTAATGACACCTAGAAATAGGATAAATTAATGAAAATAGTTTGCATTCTTGTCTATGAGGAAAGAAATTATTAGTCCAATTTTAGTTTTAATTTCCATAATTACTAGGTCCAAGAATATATCCATTTCTAATTACTCAATTCATTGCCCTTATTTGCATCAATCCATTTAAGTTTAATATTATATTTTCTCTTTAGTTTATTTTTGAGCCATCATTAGTATTTGCACAATTTAATTTACTTTCCTTTCCAAAAAGTAGTTTGGAAAATCAATCAAAAGTTTAATTTGGAAAGGAGTAAAGGGTCAGTTTAGTCCTCGAAGTTGCAAAAAAGGCGTCAAATAAGTCCTTATATAGAAGATTCTGTCCGGACGTGCCCTTTGAGGTGGCTCCCGGTGGAATTTTGTGATAATTTTTTTTGAGCATCTTATTTATTAAGTCTAGTTTACTCATACCAAATTTCAGCTAAACATTCAATCGGGAAGACATTCAAATGAATTCTTGAAGATAACAACGCTTTTAACGGCACAGTTATCTTCAAGAATTCATTTGAATGTCTTCCCGATTGAATTTTTATCTGAAATTTGGTATGAGTAAACTAGACCTAATGAATAAGATGCTCAAAAAGTTTCATCAAAAAATTCCACTGGGAGCCACCTCAAATGGCACGTCCGGACAAAATTTTCTATATAAGGACTTATTTGACCCCTTTTTTGCAACTTCGAAGACCAAACTGACCCTTATCCCATTTGGAAAGCTTCCAATAATTTGCGATAACCTGTGACTGAACTTAAAATAAAGAAGCTCCTCCGCCATTCCTCGAGAGACGCGATACTCGGGGAAAAACCGAAAGGTTAGACTTCGTTTTACTACAACGCCGCGAAAGCGGTTATCAATCACTAACATTTTTTGGGTTCCAAATGGAACCTTACGTAACAAATAATACATGAAAAAACAATGATAACAATAATAAGAAGAAGAATGAGAATACGTATATTATAAAATAAAAAAATACATATTAAATAGATAGATATATAGAATACATCATTTAGTACCACATCCGTAATTTGTTATACAAAATTGACATGTACATGTTTTTATTTTGAGTCCTCATCCACAATAAAACTACAATCTAACCTGGGATTAGTCTCCCTGGTACAGATTGCAAAAATACCTCCCACTTATTGATCCTTCAGTCTATAATGTCAAGGCTATAACCCAGTACAGATTGAAAAATACCTCCCAGTAGACTTGAAAAAATAAATTTTGCGATAGTAAGAATGTGAAGTGATGAACTCCTTCAGGCTTTTGGAAAATTTGCACGTGGACATGCCCTTCCCTGTAACATATGTATCCATAAGTTTCCCAGTAACTACTCATGGCATGCCATGTATTCAACTAAAAAACATCTTGGCATAATTTGTTTAATTAGGTTTCTTAAAAAGAAACTCTCACAAAACCCGTAAACAAACTATTAAGTACATTAATTTTCCCCCCATAAAGTGTTATTCGTTGGACTTTGTTTAAATATAAGTATATAGCAACACTAGATTGATACTATTTTGTAAGCGTGCCAGAAATAAAGTCTGTATTCTTACCATAATTGAAACGTTGTGTTATGTTTTTTCCTTTCTTCAACTGTTCACACATATGAATATGGCAATAACTGTAGTAATAAACCGTTGCATTTAATTCTATATAGAAATACAATACTTAGGTTCAATGCTGTGTGAAAGTAAACACTCCACTTCCTCACATATATTGTTGTTTATTGCGCTTGGTTAACTCAAAGGACTTTGGAGTCATACTTGCTATAGGAAAATATGTGATAGTCGTACTTATAACATGCTGTTGGATCTAATCCCATCTGGTCACACGATCCTTGACATTAATGAATTGCATACTTAGTGCATCAATATTCTCGACACCATGGATTCTGCTGGCAATGACCCTCCCGAATCAAGTCGTGCTGCAAAGAATTGGAAGAGAAGGGAGTGGTATGCATCAAATGAACAACGTCGCGTGGAAATTAACGCAAAGAGAAGAAATGCTTACGCAGCCATGGATCCCATTAAAAAACAAAAAATGTTGGATGAAGTGAACAAAAAACGTAGAGCCGCATCTAATGCGTCAAATTCCGTGACAAATGCTCACAATTACAACGGTACGGGTTTTTCTTTTTAATTATACACCCGTACTGAAATCCATTTTCCTCGCGCATTGATCCACTGTGTTTCTTATTACACCATTTTAAATAGGTCATCGTTTTCCCTGTCCAAATGCGGCAGCAGCGACACCCAATCCGGCTCATACGACATTAATTCACGTGCCAAACTTTGTGCAAAGTGACAACATCGTACAATCAATGTTTCCGACGTACAAAAGCCCCATACCTTCACAATCTTTTGTACTCAAGGCTTGTGTGCCATGCCAACATTGCGACGCAATGCGCATTCAGTATGAACCACCGGGACTTTGTTGCTCTGCGGGGCAAGTAGTTTTGGTATCAAATAAAATGCCATCCATTTTGAAGCGCTACTTTTGCGAAAAAGATGACGTTGCTCGACAATTTCAGGCATGCGTCAGGACATACAACAGCACGTTCGCATTTACTTCCTTAGGAATACACAATTATGACAAGAACTTGGCCAAGAGGAATAAGGGCATATACACATTCAAAGTGCAAGGTCAGATGTATCATTTCATTAATGACTTGCTGCCTGCCGGGGAGCGCCCTAAGAACCTCCAACTGTATTTCTTTGATACCGAACACGAGGTGGAAAATCGAATCCACGGCGCAGATAGAATGGAACATGATGTTGTTAAAGACCTTATGACCGTCCTCGAAACAAACCCATATTCACAATTCTTCAGAAGCTTAAAAGATGTGAGCAACCTGGAGGATTGTAATATTGTGATTCGATCAAATACACAACTGGACCAGCGGGTTTACAACATGCCCACCATGTCTCAAGTTGCTGCAATCTGGATAGAGGACTCAGACACAGGTGTAGAAAGCAAACGAGACATACGAGTGTACGCGAAGAGTGGGAGATCACACTCAGTTCAATACTACTATGGTTGTTATGATCCTTTACAGTACCCGCTCTTGTTCCCCCATGGCGAAAGTGGTTGGCACGAA